CAATCAATCAATCAATCATGTGTCATCTTCACAGTCAATCAAGCAGGTGTCATCTCCACAGTTAATCAATCATGTGACATCTTCACAATCAGGTTTGGCTGCAAAGGAACTTCAACACGCTCTGTCTTTCGCCCTGGATACTGTTCGTCCATCTCTTAATGACATCCTTTCACTTGTTTCGCTTTGTGAAGTCACTCTAAAAGTGAATTACAATATTTTCGAGCACAAAACTTGAAAAAAAAAAATCAACTCATTACTCACAAGACATCTAGTAGCTAAATAAGTGTTACTGATTCCTTCTCATTTTCTACTGCGTTCTGTATACAAAGTAAATTAATTCTATTTAAACGTTTTATTTCGAAAATGTCAGCTCTGATTATTATTTTAAGTATGACAGAGACTGATACTTGAAAAAAATATAATTCACTCTACCGCGGTTCAAATAAATCACAAATTGAAATTCAATCCGGACAACCATCCCAAACATTGTGTTACAAAACTTCTTCAGTCCCAATGAACGCTTCATACGTTCATAAGTTCCTTCCTAGAAGCCCAATGAACGCAAGATTTGCCGATTTAACGTCTTTCTTGACTAACCCTTGGGCCTCGGATGCTTAACCGCCTGGGACTGAAAGAGAAATGTCTAAATATCACGAAAAGACACAAAAATCAACGAAAAGTAGACATGGTCGACTTCACAAACACAACCGTGAACGTTGAGTCTAAATATTTCAGTAGCTCAACCCACAACACATAGGACTGCTGGTAACTTTGTAACCCCCCAAGTGTCCTAATACAAACAATGTAGCCGCAAAGTCCACTTTTCGTTTGTATTTGTTATACTGTGAGGCTCGCGGATCTACTTTTCGTTTGTATTTGTTATACTGTGAGGCTCGCGGATCTACTTTTCGTTTGTATTTGTTATACTGTGAGGCTCGCGGATCTACTTTTCGTTCGTTTGTATATCTTTGACTAATAACAGCGTTATACGGTTGATCAGCGATTCTGAGATTTGATCCTGATTAAGTCTCATTCATGAAATGTTAATCATACGGAGAGCAGAGGATGAATGATTGAATGAATCCAGAATTGGCATCACTGCGCTCGGGACATTCCTACACCTGCTCCGTCCCCTTCTTCAGTAACCAACAAAGAGCTGACATGCTAATAGTATCAGTAAAATTCCCTGCCCACTCTGCTCAAGAACTTTCAGTGCTAGAATTGGCCTAATAGGCCACCTGCGCACTCACAAAACCTAATCCAGTCACCAATGGATGACAGAACTGGTCATCATCACCTGTGATGGACGAACAACAAGTGCAGCAATACTGGAGGGAAACAAAAACTAAGTGTCGTCTGCTACGCAATATTTATGAGTTATTTCCCTTGTATTAACAAACTCAAACCGCAAAGAAAAATGCGAACATTTCTTGAATTCAGTTTTTAATAATAGCTTCCTTTCTACTCTGTGCTGTGTATTATAATGTTATCAGATCAACGCTAGTGCACACTGGGATTCCCAGGCAAGCGCAGACCTATAGTGCGGCACCAATCTCACTGCACTCCTACTTGACTGTTCTCCCATATACTTGAGTCCAGTCAAGAACTAGAAAGATTTTGGTGTGAAAATATTTCGCTTGTGACCGTAGTGGTCTTATAGATGTCTTTCTGTAATAAGAGTGGGTTAGGCTTGTTACAGTGATGTGGAATTTGTGCATGTGTGGGGATGCATGTGTTTGTGTCTTTAAACGTTTTAAATGTTTTTAACTAAAAATAACAATAAGGTACCTTTTGGTATGTTCTGATACCTTTTGTAAAAAAAATTTTTAGTCCTACCATTCCCCAAAATATTTCGGCAGCCCTGGTCAGTAGTAGTTAAACTAATAATTCAGATACAGATGCTTAATTTAAAAGCCATCTGTGATGAACGTTAACAGGGACATTTGTGTTTCTTAGGAATCTTAGAATGTATGGTACAGTTGTTTGGTGCTGACAGATGTAATAACATTCATAATGTAAAATCACATTTTGGCCGTCCTAACTATACATAATTTTATTCATACAATAATGACAATCATTCTAACACATGGCACATAATAGTCACTGTTTGTATTATTTTATTTATGCATTCTGTATAAAAAATTAGCAACATGTTCAGTTAACAATTAATGCATCAGTAACAGTTTATAACATGTTCGGTAACAATTACTCACCCTCAGTGTTGTATTTACCTGATAACAATGTAGTTTGTTAGGAAAGACCAGGTGAGCAACGCTAAAGGATTGAAGAAGAAGGATAAAGAGAAGAAAAAGATGAAGAAGAAAATGATAAATAAGAAGGAAACGAAGAAGAAGAAGAAGAAGAAGAAAATGATAAAAAAGAAGGAAAAGAAGAAGAAGAAGAAGAAGAAAAAGAAGAAGGAGGAGGAGGAGATAAAGAAGAAACAGAAAAAAGTGTTCATCATATAGGAGGTAACTTAAGGGAGCTGCTGTGGCAAGAAGGGGGCCTGATGGTTGCGGGCTCAAATCTGCATCAAGTCATATTTTTCCCCTGCAGTTTACAGCTGGTGATTATTAAGAAAAAGAATAAGAAATCCTAAATTGCACAGTCCATCATACTTGCACTTAGCCACATGACCACCATATCCTCAAGTCATGTGACTACCATATCCTCAAGTCATGTGATCACCATATCTTCAAGTCTTGTGACCACCATATCCTCAAGTCATGTGACAACCATGTGACCACCATATGCTCAAGCTCAAAGACTCTCCCTGTCTACATCTCAAGAGTGGCCATTGCAGGCAGTTTTTTGTTTTTAGTTACTTCTGTCTGTATTTACCATTTTTTTAGGGCGGTGTAGGCAGGCAGTAATGAGCCTGAGAATTTAGGGCCGCATGGCTAGTGCTGTTGCCACAGACTGTGCAGGTTAGGATGTTTAATTTTACCCCTGACAGAAAATTCCATCACCTTAGCGGAGATCGAACCTGGGTCTCCCACATGAGACCCTGGCATTGTAACCACTCGGCAGGCTCCTCTTCTTATCAAAGTGATAGGTTGAGCAAAATCAGGTTATACTGGTGTTTATACTTCTTAGCATTCGGTGACTGTAAACTCCATCAGAAAAATCCTAGATGTTTGTCTAATTCTGGACTGTAATCTTGTTTCAGAACTTGAGCTCATGATAAAGATCTGGAGTAACTGATTCTTACGCATACGAGTACAATTAAAAAAGTTTCTGAGAGAGATCTGATCTAATTTGCAGTTGTATTTAAACAGCTCTTTAGGCCAGTGAGACTGAAGAGGAAGAGCACTGCCCAAATGAAACGATAGAAATATAACTTCACTTGTCACAAATGTACCAGTCTCTTATCAACAAAAGAGAATAATCAAATCAATCAGAAAGCCATCAGAACTGGCACAAGATGATTACCATTTTATGGACAGACCAGAGCAAGTTATCATTCTATGCCTTAGAACATGACGCAATCGACTTCGCAGCCAGATGTAGACAAAATTTAAAATCGACAAATCAGCCATGTGCACATGTGAACTGGTACCTGAGATAACCGATCATGTCCTCCAAGACTGTCCCAAATACTACATACATATCAAGGCAAAACGTTTGGCCAAGAGAAACATCGGTGCAAGTCAAACTTTACGGGTCGCTGAGTGAATTACAAAAGACAGTGAAGTTCATACTAGAGACAACATTGCAGATATGGATAATCTATTTCCAGCGAACGAAAGGAGAAGAAGAAGAAGACAAATGTTAAATAAAATATACTCTGCATAATCCATGCTCTTCTGTAAAAATGTGTGCTAAAAAAAATCAAACAGTTGAAACATAACCAGATACCTTGTATTTCAAATTAAACACTGGAGTTGTCACTAGCAATCATAACTGTTCAAATCTCTCTATTATGTGACATGTTATTTCAATGCTACTGATTATATTATTATTCTGGCAAATTCTTTCTTCTGCTTTGTTTGCCCTTAGAAGGGTGATTGGTACCTTGTGGTCTGGTTTACAGCTAGGCTGCGATATCTGTGCCATCCAGCCAAACACATCGGATTTATGTAAACCTTTTATATCACCTTTTACAACATGCTTGTTAACCCTTTTTAGTCCCAGAGGGTTTAGCATCTGAGGCCCAAGGGGTAGCACAGAGAAAGGCATAATTGGCCCATCTTGCGTTCACTACGCTTCTAGGTAGGAACCTGTGAACGTATGACGTGTTCTATGGGGCTGAAAGAGTTAAGGGAGCAATGGGTCTGTTTCTTTTTCTCTCTCCCAAAATGGGGTCGTAAAACCCAATGCCTAGCTATATAAGCTGTCAGCATACATCTTTCTGTTTGCGAATCTCTATCAGTCATCCCCTCGTGGGATGCAATTTTGGGTTTTTTGAAGCCCCACCCTGGCTTTTGCCGGGGGCCCTAAATATAGACGGGTCATAGATTTGGCCTAACGACTAAAAGGGGTTTCTGGGACCTCTCCACGGGTGATCCTCATCCGCACGGTGGCACCTTGTGTCACCGGGTTTTTGTCGCTTGTGTGATGTTCTAGTGGGGTACAACTACCTACCCATCTTTCTGTCCTTCACTGTGCCAAAAAACTATGGTTATTGCTCATCCACTCCTGAACTTTTGTCTTGATCCAGAACTTGAATTCTGTGTGCATATCCATTTTACAGATCTGCTTTATTTGTATGCTTTATTTGTATGCCCTCCAGGCAGATGCACTCCCAACTTTGAAGGAAACACCTCTAATAAGTCGCCTCCTACAATATGCATATGAAGAGTCTATTCTTTGTTCTCCACAATGCATCCCCGGAACCCACACAGGGATTACAATGTCTAAATTCTTCATCAGATACAGTCTGATCTATCTCCCCTTTCCACTTGGAATAATCCATAATTTGTCTTTGCCAGAAGGTTCTGATAAGTGATCCCGTAACACCTTCAGGCCTAACAATAAAACATGATATACATAAACATAATCTACTTCTTGACAAAAGCTTCCATGTCTTGCCTGCGGAGCCTCATCTGATGCCAGTCTTCAGTCTCTGTCATGTCAATGCATCCGTAACGTGTGTAGAGATCTATAGCCTCCTTGTTCCAACCAAGCACTGACAACTGCAGTCGGCTACAACCTATGTCTAAAGCAGCCTGGAATTGCGACAATAAAGCTTGATGCAGATATTAAATGAGATGAATTCAAGAGAAGTGATGAAATAAGTCTGGGCAAACCACCAGCATCACAGTTATAAGACAGAGAAGATGGCGCTATACAGACACATTCTAAGATTAAGTTAACAGAGAATCACTAAACAGGCAGTGAAATGGGAATCAGAGTGACTGAGGACATCCAAGAGAAACCCCAAGGTGAATGCTGATGAGAGAAGCCAAAGGTGCTGGATTGGACTGCATCCATAATATCAAAGTGATTGCACAGCACAGAATAGAATGGAGAAATAGACTATGAGCCCTATGTGACACATAATGGTAATAGACTCTGAGCCCTATGTGACACATAATGGTAATAGACTCTGAGCCCTATGTGACACATAATGGTACAACAGGACATGAATGAAACTGCCCTTACTGCCTGTATTTACCACTTTTCCAGTGTAGGTAAGTGGAAAGGGGGGAAAGGAGGGGGGAGGAGTCTTTGAACCTAAGGATTAAGGGCTACATGGCTAGTGCATCTGCCATGAATTGTGCATGTTAGGATTTTACTTTAGCCTCCCTTCCCCCCTTCCGCAGAGAAAAATCCCCAACCCTGCTGAAAATTTGAACGCAGGTCTCCTGCTTAAGAGTCCAGCATTCTAACCATTGGGTCAGCCGCTCCACAGGACAAAGAAGGAATGAACTAAAGTGATGCTGATAAAGTTCATATATAGCTTGAATAAATAAAAAAAAAAGATATGTGCTTAAGAAATGTTATAACAAAACTGTAGCAAATTTTTTTCACGCCAGTAGTGCATCAGCTAACTCGATTATTATTGACTAGAATCTGAAAAACAGGTCAAGAGAAACAGAAGAAAACAGAGTCTTACGATGAATATTTGGACCCATCAAAGATGCCAACAGCGGTAAATGGAGAGTGAGAAGCAACAATGAAATTCATCATTTGTTTAAATCACCACTGATAACTGGCATCATGAGAGCTAATAGACTGAAATGGTTGGGGCATATTGAAAGAATGTCAGATGACAGAGAAGTAAAAACTGTATACACGAGGGAGATGAATGGTCGTAGACCACGGGGCTGACCAACAAGATGATGGAGAGATAATATCCAGACAGACCTGCAAACACTTGGTGTCACCAACTGCAAATAAAAGGCCAACCAGAAAGATGAATGGAGGTGGTTGATATCTGCAGCAATGAACTGCCAACCAGAAAGATGAATGGAGGTGGTTGATATTTGCAGCAATGAACCTTAAGTGCTCGGATTGCTGAAAAAGGAGAAGTGCATCAGGTATATGATACTAGATTAATATTTGTATAGACCAATCGGCACTCGATGGGCGACGTGGTCAACATCACGCTGGCTGCCTTTACTTCTCAGGACATTACCTGGTAATCCATTTAAGGCTGGGTCGATCTGGGAGCCAAGGTCATTTCTGCCACACACACAAAAAGTCTGGTTCAGTTAGGACCTGAACCCACAATCTTCAGATCCACAGGTGAGTGTTTAGCTGCTACACCACAGCAACTCAAATATTCTAGTGGACACTGCAAAAAAAGACGTAGAAGGTAAAATGATTGTGCTCATATGTCCTGATGGTACCAGTGGTACTTGCCTAAAGTGAACGCAAATACGGGGATCCGGGGCACCACTGTGGGGACAACAAGAACAGACACACCGCCTACACAATATTAAAAAAAAAAAAAACTAAGTTGAATAATTGGGAACCTCCTTTATTATATGTTAATTTAACTTTGTACTAATGAATCTGATTTATTATATGTTAATTTAACTGTGTACTAATGAATCTGATTTATTATATGTTAATTTAACTTTGTACTAATGCATCTGATTTATTATATGTTAATTTAACTTTGTACTAATGAATCAGATTTATTATATGTTAATTTAACTTTGTACTAATGAATCTGATTTATTATATGTTAATTTAACTTTGTACTAATGCATCTGATATATTATATGTTAATTTAACTTTGTACTAATGCATCTGATTTATTATATGTTAATTTAACTTTGTACTAATGCATCTGATTTATTATATGTTAATTTAACTTTGTACTAATGCATCTGATTTATTATATGTTAACTTTGTACTAATGCATCTGATTTATTATATGTTAATTTAACTTTGTACTAATGCATCTGATTTATTATATGTTAATTTAACTTTGTCCTAAGGCATCTGATTTATTATATGTTTATTTAACTTTGTACTAATGCATCTGATTTATTATATGTTAACTTTGTACTAATGCATCTGATTTATTATATGTTATTTTAACTTTGTACTAATACATCTGATTTATTATATGTTAATTTAACTTTGTACTAAGGCATCTGATTTATTATATGTTAATTTAACTTTGTACTAAGGCATCTGATGAGATACAGCGAAATACTCCCTGCATCATTTAAAAAACAGTTATTTACCTGAGTTACATTCTGCCACAGACGTTTGCCTAGACCCTTGCCTCTGTATGCTGGGGTTACATAGATATCCTCCATGTGTACACAGACACCCTCCCAGGTGGAGTACGTGGGGAAGTACAGTGCGTAACCGACAAGTTGATTAGAATCTGAAAAACAGGTCACATACACATAAAAATACTCAGCCATATTATATTGTATTATGTTATATAAAATGTGTAACAGTGTTAAGCAATATTGCTTAACTATATTTACTTTTGTTATGCCTTCCACTCTCTCAGTCCTTTATAGGCTTGTTCATAATTCACATCTTTGTAGGCTTTTTCATAATTCACATCTTTGTAGACTTTTTTCATAATTCACATCTTTGTAGACATTTTCATAATTCACATCTAGCCCTTTGTAGACTTTTTCATAATTGACACAAAGTCCTTTGTGTAATGATCTTGATAAGGGTTAAACTGGGAATACCTGACTGAATTCATAAAGCCAGTGTTTCACGTCAGAATGTTTAGACCCAGTTGTGAAAATGTGTTGATAGTAGTTTTGGAGGCGAACGGAGGAAGAATGGAAACACATTTTTTTTTTTTGCATTAGTGTCCTAATAAATTATATAAGTCATGCCAATGCTCATCATTATCGATATGTATATGCATGCTGTAATTCAAGAATGTCACGTAACCTTTCATAGACAAACAAGGCAAATGATAAGCCTAGTACAGTTGAGGTTCATGGCAGTCAGCATAAGTGAACCAATATGGTATGCTCACTGTGATATCAGTTTGTATGGTAACCTTAAAATGTTTCACCTTGATGACACCTAGAATGTAAATTTATACTTGCAAGACCATCAGCTCTTATAGGGTAATATACAAGAAGAACATGCTCTCATGGTGGCCAGGAAAACATTTGAAAGCATCTTGTTAAAGCCTTCTATATAAACCCTGTCACATGGAAGGCTGTTGTACAAGACAATATGGTGAAGGTCTATCCAAATAGGTGCAGCAACTTGCAAGGCGTCTAGAAAAAAAAGCAGCTGAACAGCACAGGCAGGCTAGAAAGACCCGTCTAACAGGCCCTTTACCTACAGTCACTGTCCCCCGCCCTCTCTGTTCTAGATCCTAGGTGACAGATGAAAGATGGATGTGATGGATGAATAATATAACATAACACAATATGTATGCACACGTAGCAGTAAGTGAACAAGCAGGGCTTACCTTCATTCACTGGCTCAGCTACAAAGCAATGGAAATATTGTTTTTCTCCAAAACAGTCTCGTTTCAAAACTGAAACAACAGGTTGATTCACATATGAATCAAACATAAACGTTAAATCTACCCCTATCATCGTTGACACGTAAGGCAATCACATGTGATCACCACTGCTGCCAGTCTGCCCCTGGTATCCCACATCAGTGTACATTCCTTTATTTCCCTTGCTACTGTCATTTTCCAGGTTTTCTCAACATGTTTTGTTTATTATTACTGAAACATGTTCACTACTCCCCAGGACTTTTCTAAATGAAAAAAAAAGGTGCCATACAGTGTTTGGGAGTTGCCGTGGCATTGGCGGCTAGGCGCCCAGCTGCGGATATGAAGGTCGTGTGTTCGCATCCTGACGGAGCCTCACTTTTTAAAAAAAAATGACCTTGACTCTCAGGTTGACCCAATTTTGAGTGGGTACCAGGTGCAGTCCTTGGAAGTACAGGTGTGATGCTGACCCCATCACCCACCAAGTGCCGATTGGTCTATAAAAATATAGGTCCAGCCCTGTATTCCCAATGTGCCTGAAGGCCTGGTAAAGGGACTTTTACATATAGTGTTTATAAAGGTACCAATTAAATAATGATGCCTGAAAGAAGGTGCAGGTACCGCGTACCTTTACGGCTCATGGGTTCAGGTCTTGACAGAGCCAGATATTTTTCAAACGACCTTGCTTCGCAGGGCGACCCAGGCCTAAATGGGTACCAGGTAAAGTTATGAGTGCTGACTGGTCTATAAAATACAGGTCTAGCCCTACATGCCCAATACGCCTGGAGGCATGCAAAGGGGTCCCTTACTTACTTTAATAGATTGTTGCAAGGATGAATAAATTAAAGGACTCTGAGGCATGAGCCTGATGTATAAGATAAACAGTGCTAAACCAAAAATTATAGACAAACTGTACTTGATGGGTAATGTTGTCAATAAATCACACAGGCTGCCAACAAACTTCCTGGAATATTTTAAGGTTGGGTCAACCCTGAGGATGAGGTCAATTATGAAAATCTTCCTCAACATTGTTATGAAGTTGTGAGCATGTCCTATGCTAAAAGTTCACAATTCTGGCCAGGTGGGTGTACCAGAGATAGATTTCTCTGTAGCATCTTCTTGTACCATAAAGGCAGCAATGATATCATATGCTAAACTTCACAACAGTGGTCAGCTTATGTGCCAAAGATTCGTTTTCTTTGTAGCATCTACAAGTATCATGAAGGCTGCAAGGATGTCTTATGCTAGACATCACAATTCTGGACATCTAAATACCATAGGTTAGTTCTATGTAGCACTCTACACTATAAGGATGCTATTTATACGTAAACATTCATATCTGGCCAGCTAGGTATCTATAAATTAGTTGTCTATAAAAATCACATGACAGCAATGATGTTTTCTTACCTTCAGCATCTATCCTGACTTGATCTGCAAGTTTTTCAAATTCTGCCAGTTCCTAAAATAAATAATGTCCACCATACACAATCTTAGTTTCAAAACTAAGTTACATATTTTCAATTTCAATGATTTTTGTCCATTTTAACATATGCCTGTGAAAGTTGGAGAACTATTAAAGTCAGAATGAAAATTAAATGCATTATAAAACAAATGCCTGAGGAAGCTGAAGAACATTAACCATTTGGGTATGTCTGGGTCAATCTATTGGACTAGTAATTGCCTATGGTCTCTGGGTAGTAAGATCGGGCGCCTGTGTCTATTGTTCGCGCATGTTAAAAAAAAACCTTGACAGTTGGAAATCGAAAAAAGCAGCCTAACGGGGCTGCCAGGAAAAAATTTCGAGTTAAAATGTACTCAAAGCATTTCAGGATCCTCGCCGGTGCAACAGAGTTCGTGCACTGAGCTGAGATTCATCAGTCAGGCTTGAGTTAGAAGTAGAACGAAGCACTAATAGGTTACACCTCTGTGCCATGATGTTACTTAAACTACTGACTGTAGTGGACATAATCCATTATTTGGGCAAGTTGACACAATAATACAAATTTTTCATATTTAATATTGTTTGAGATTAGGGTTAGGATTTGAGTTAGGGGGCTTACCCTAACCCAAAACCTAGCCTAAAGCAAAATTAAATATTACAGAATATCATTATTATTATGTGAACGTAAACAAAAGAGGGATTGTCTCCTGTATGGTCACCATAAACAAATTGTAGACTGCGTCTCCCTAGGTTCGCTGTTCCAAGGTGTGCCAAGCTTCTGTAGTCACCCCATGAAATTTTTGTTTAAAAAAACACAAAAAACACACCCAATCACCAGCATCAAAAATGAATGGCCCCCACCCTATCCTCCTGCCCTCCCCCGTCCTTATCTTCCTCCCTTTCTCCTTCTCTGCCAAATGCTGGTGAGATGTGAGGTCAGTTTAATTATGCATCATTATCATCATCCTTAATTTGTTTTTCTAAAGTATGTAAACAATTTATAAACGATGTAACCATATCATCATCACCACCATCATAACTAGGTACCAAAAACACTAACACAGAATCATGAATGGCCCTTCCTCTCTTGACCCGCTGTTTATTTATGTCTCCTGCTTTAGTCTACTCTCTTGAAAATGTTGGTGGAATATAGTAGGTACCAGATCATCATCATTGTTTACCATTTTATTATTTTTTTTTTTTTTTTGCATTTTTAAATGTATACAAAATATTGTAAACCATGTTTTCAACCAATACATTTTTTTTTTTTAAAATTTTTATTTGAAGCCCCACCCTGGCTTTTGCCGGGGGGCCTGAATAAAGCCTGGCCATAAATATGGCCTAACCGCTGAAAGGGGTTTCTGGGACCTCTCCATAGGTGATCCTCCTCCGCATGGTGGCACTTCGTGTCATCAGGTATTTATCGCTTGTGATGTCTTGGTGGGGTACAGAGAAAGAGAGAGAGAGAGAGAGAGAGAGAGAGTGAGTAAGAGAGAGAGAGAGGAGTGCCAAAAAATTGTGTTCCATACTGGGGCAAATTATATTTAAAAGTAGGAAATAACTTTAAAATAACCAAGGCAATTACTAATAAATTACAGACATTCATTAACTTCTGCCTGCGCAGAATAGAGGGAATTAAATGGTATGATAGAATAACTAATGTAGAACTTTGGGAGAGAACAAAACAGGCTCCATTGGACCAAGAGGTGAGGAAAAGATGCTGGCATTGAATAGGACACACACTGAGAAAACAGGAGACCAGCATAACTAGAATGTCAGCTCACCTTTAAATAACGATCCAGTGTTGCCACTTTGGATCTTTTATATCCAAATTTAGATCTTTTTCATTGCATTTAGATACTGTTTTTGACATTTAGATCGTAAATACTTTTCTAGATTCCTTTCATATGGAGTTGGATATTTTATAGATTTTTTTTCTTTCATTGTCAATTTAATAATTACTGTGTAAAATATTTACTACAATATTTTTGTTTTGGTCTGGCACGTACATTGTGACAACTGCCATTACTTGAACTTTGAACTTTCACTGGGGTCAACGCACAAATATCTGGCAGCCCCGTGACTGATTAATAAAAACGTGCGTAAATCATACTAACTTTGTTTCAACTGTATCCTCGCTGTGCTGACCTTGCGTTTCTTTTTCATGTGATTTTGAAAAAAATAATTGCCCACCTTCATATGTGGCTTTCACTTTGAAAAAAACCTTTCAACATGCCAAAAGTAAAGTATGAGCAAAAAATTTGGAAAGAGTGGTTGCATGATGACAAAATTAAAAACTGGGGATATGACCAAAGCTTGTTGTAAGTACTGCAAGTGTGAAATTAAAGCGAAAATACAAAACTCAAAGATTCATGCAGAGACTAAAAAAGCATAAAACTGCAGTTTCATTTAAAGATATTACACCGCTGACATCTGTTTTCAGAACTATACTGATAAATGTATCATCAAAAGTTGAAGTATCAGTCGCAATGTTTTTAATTTGTCACTGCGCAATTTCAAACTGTGACCATTTGATCGATTTGTAAAAAAATCTTGGATTAGTTCAATTTGAAAAGTGTGATGTAGAAAGTATAGTTTAGGAACTGAAGGACCTTTTAATCAGCAAACAGTTAGGCTTGAAGAATTTGGCTGTAATTGGTACTGATAATGCCTCAGTGATGGTTGGTATAAACAATGGCGTTTATGCCAAGTTGAAGGAAGCTAACCCATCATTAATACTTATAAAATGTATGCGTCATTCATTGCAGCTAGCATTATCACATGCTTCATCTAAATATTTACCAAGGAATTTGGAATACCTTATTGCTGAAACACTTTACTGGTTTTCCAAATCATTTGTCAGACAACAGCAATACAATTCATTATATACAGCCTTGAATGATGGTTCCACACCACAGAAAATTCTGTCAGATTGCAAAACTAGATGGTTATCAATTTAACCAGCTGTTGAAAGAATTATGAAGCAATGGCTGAAGTTGAAGACGCACTTTGAAATAACAAGACAAAGTGAAAAGTGCTACACAGCTGAAATACTATATGGAATGTATAGTGATGAAAAAAATGTTGTCATTCATTCTCTTTTTATAACCTATTCTAATGGAAGTGCAAAAAGTTAATAAACTGTTCGAATCTAAACTTGTTGATAAAGTTAAATTACTTGATGATCTCACCTTGCTATTTCACTCGGTAAAAGACTGGTGTTGCCAACTTCTAAAGCTGATTTGCTTACTTGCACTATAGAGAGCTATTTGGCTCCTAAGCCACACCTTGGATATTTAATCGAATCAAAAATTGATGATTTAAAAACAAAAGGACTGTTAAGAGAGAATGAAGAGAACAACTCAAGAAAACGCTGTCAAGATTTTCTTATCTCATTATTGAAGCAACTGAAGCAGAGACTTCCTGAAAATCTAGATGTTTTGAAAAATATTTCACTTTTTTTTTCTGTGAGCAACATTCTTTAGCCAATAAAGGACATACCTAAATATTGTAAAGTTATGACATTTTTAGGGGCTACTGATAATAGTGTCGCGGAAGCAGAATATCAGTTAACCAAAATAAAGTTAGCTAAATGGACAAACAAAACAGAAACTAAAGCGTTTTGGAGTGAAGTGAGACAATTTAAAGATGCCTCATCAAACAGTCCATTCTGTAAGCTCTTTAAAGTGCCATGTCTGCCATGATACTACCCCACTCAAATGCTGACGTAGAAAGAGTTTTCAGTGCTAGGAATTATATCAAATCTAACCTAAAAAACAGGATGAAATTTGACCTCTTAAATGCTATCGTGCCATTAAAATTCGGCCTGATGAGACTAGAGAAATAAGCCTACTGTTCCACTTATAAGAAATTTGAACAGCTAAAGCATACCAGGGTCGTTTTGGATCTGAAGCTTCAACTTCATTATCCAAGCTAAGTTTATCCTGTGGATCTTGTGAGGCAGACATCAGTGAAGGTGAGGACATGATTATGTAGGGTAAGTCATTAACAAAAGCTGTGCAATTTTTGACTTTTTCAATTTGGATATTTTGTCTAGATCTTTTCCACGCAGATTTAGATCTTTTTAGATATTTTTTGACACGGTTTTGGATATTTTTTGTCAAAGAAAAGTGGCAACACTGTAACGATCGCTAGCTGGAAAGTCGGCGGTCGCTTAGTGGGAGTTCACTCCCTTGGTTGCAGTGCAAATACGGACTGTAAAGAGGGAACGAAACAAATGACTTACTTACCTATCATCATACGGTTGCGTAGGGTTAGGGTTTGGGTTAGGGTCTGGGGTAGGGTTAGGCGCAGGGTTAGGGGTAGGGTTAGGGTTTGGGTTAGGGTAGGGTTAGATGTGATGTCTCCTCAATATGACGGCAATAGCGCACGGCTGGTGCCCAATTGATGGCGAATTGTCCATTTGAGAAGCATCCACAGTCCATCAGTTGTTTGGGTGTGTATGTCACTGTGTGCGATTATTTGGAACTCCTGCGTCAAAAGTGTCACATCTAACCCTAACCATAACCACGCAAATTTATCGGTCATTAAGGCATACAGATCTGCAGGAGTCACATCCGTGGCAACTAATAGCCCTTTTATATATGGATATATGTATTAAAAAAAAAAACAGATTTCCCCGAGGCGTCAAATAAACACCCAGATCTGGGGGAAACACCCAAGCATTGGCAGCCCTGATGTCGACCTCACTGTCTGTTTTGATTCGTGACTTGTCCGCTCCGTATTTGCAATGCAGCCAAGGGAGTGAACTCCCACTAACTCTTTGAGTCCCAAGGAACGCGTCACGCGCTGATTTGTTACTACCTAGCGGCCCAAACAGCGCATGATGTGTGATGGTTTTTAATTTACCACTTATCGGTAATTACACGTGAACCGCTAAATTTAAACTTCCTTTCCGGTTCTCAAGTGTGTAGTGAACACACGTGGAGTGCATTCGTTTGGGTCTGGTGAGTTTTTAACGCTTTAAATCGATATTTGTGTGGTCTACTACGTTACGAAACAATTGTCTGAAAACAATATGTCCGATCAGTCATCGTCTTCACGCCCATCAAAGCGATTTACTGCTTTAGAATCATTAAATTTGATAAAACAGTGGATCGATTAAAGTAATATGGAGTTGGATAATGATAGTAGCGACGTGAAATTTCCCCAAACCGTTGACGAGTCAAGTTTTGATGAGGATGTGTGCGTAATTTACCTCCTGCTAAGAGGACAAAACTGACTAATTCTACCATGGCAACACAAGAGAAGCACCTTGTAATGCGAAACCAGCTAGTCCAAATGTCAGCGCTTTTAGTACTACTATCCATATCGTCTAAAACCATAGATTTATATCTATGAACAGGTTGACATGTTTACAGTGCCTTTACAGATTTTTCTATGTGAGGAATTCAATTGTTTTTAGAAAAGTCACTGTTTGTGCCACTGGAGAATATATTTTTACGTGTTATGGTAGTGTTATTCAAATTGCTATGGAACAACAACTATTGCACATTTTGCTTCAATATTGGCTGTGCTTACTTATAAGTGGTGTACCTTCCTTTGTGATGCATTTTGGATATACTATATCAAGAATTTTGGGATCAGCTTCTGGGTAAGTGGAAAAAACTTGTTCATAATTTGCTCACCTCTCAAACTAAGTCACTGTTTTCTCTACTAAATGCTAACTAACAGTATAATTGTTTGTTGTAGCAGTAAGCTAACATTAATCATTATCCATTTATGTTTAATTGTATGTATGATATGTGTATGTTGGACATCAGCTGCAGTTGTGTGGTTTGTTTTAAAGTGCTGCATTTGTTAAAAGTCAAAATCAAATTACCCCCCCTTGGGCCTGTGATGCAAAACCCCCTGGGACTCAAAGAGCTAAGAGACCGCCGGCTTTCCAGCTAGTGATCGTTATTTAAAGGAGAGCCAGAATGTCTTTGCATTGGAACCCACAGGGGCAAAGGAATACAGGAAGGCCAAAAAACACATGGAGAAGAGAGCTGTAGAATGAAGTTAGAAAGATGGGGAGAGTTCCATGCAATGGCGAACGATAGAACGACTTGGCGTGAGTTGGTTGAGGGCCTATGCTTCATTTGGGGATAGAAAGGCAGAAGAAGAAGAAGAAGAACTTTAAAATACTTTACTTACAATTATCAATCTCATTATTTCTGTGCAGTCTTCTGGTTTCGCCAGTCGGATCATTATTACGTCTGATAAAGCAGTATTAGTCGTCATTGTTAATAATGTATATCTGTGTTGACTAGAAATTAAAAATAAATGGAACAAACGGAACGAGTTAATGTTTGCCGAACATCTGTAACGTCCCAGTTGTAGTGGACTGTGGACCGCTACAGACAGGCAGGTCTTGTATTTGTTAACGACTGGCCAGCAGACGATCTCAGAGTTACTTCCCCATCACGGCCATAGAGAGAATTTATTGTTTTCTCGAACGTTTTAGCAGACATAAATATCCGTTTTTGAAATAGAAAAAAAAAAAAAAAATTGATATATTCCAATTATAAACCGGACGGGTTGAACATGATATTGTTTTAAAATGTTACTACTACATTAATGTTTTCAGTTTAAAATGGATGGTTTAACATTTTAAAAATATCTTTGCCCCCTTTGTCTCTCTCTCTCTCTCTCTCTCTCTCTCTCTCTCTCTCTCTATATATATATATATATATATATATATATATATATATATATATATATATATATATATATATATATCCGTTTCTCTTATCTCTTTATTGCCTTGATCTTTTTCAATGTCTCTCTCCGTATCGCTTTTTCTTTCTGTCTATCTCTCTATCGCTGCCTCTATTTTTCACGATATCTCTCTGTCTCTACATATCTCATTCTCTCTATCATTTTCGATGTCTCTCACTGTCTCTGTGTGTCTTATTTCTCGACACAAAAGATGGCGGCCGCAAAATATCCTTACGAGCCTCAGTCACGTGTCAATTGCGCACTTGCGGTCACGAGCACATCGCGGAAAAAACTAGGATTAGTGTCTGTTGACAATTTCGAGAAACGGAACAAACTGCCGAGTTAAACTCGCTTCCGAGTCTCCCCCGTGCCGCGCGGACAGGGGCTAAACTAGATGGCTGGGACCCACTGGCAGTAGCTACCGCATCTCCTGCAGCGTCCTCATTTTATTTGCTCATGCGAGAGGCTCTAGTCGGAGTGTTCGTCGGAAGTAAGTCGGCGAACATTGCAAAATTGAAACATGAAATTTTTGACCACGCACTAATTTCCTCGATCCTACAGACAGTGAAATTCACACACAAACCATTGAAGGTTTGTGGATGCTACTAAAAAGAAAGCTGCTTTACCAATCCGGTACGAGCCGCGCCTTGTTCCGATCGTACTTAGCCGAGTTTCAATGACGTAACACCCACAAACAGCAGATTTCCGGGCACTATCTACAACTTCTGTGCCATAATTTCTAGACATAAAGGCATGAAATTATCGTTTAGTAGTCGATTTGATATAACATTTTTTTTTTCATTCCTTGTTAGTTTTGACTTCAATTTTTGAATGTTTACAACACATGACACGTGACTGAGGCTCTAAGGATATTTTGCGGCCGCCATCTCTTGTACCCGTTGTTCGGAGGATAGCCTATTACTCTGTCTATATATGTATCTTCCTCTCTTTCTATGTCTCTGTTTCTATCCGTCTCTCTCTCTCTCTCTATTATATCCCTCTATATCTCTGTCTTCTCATTCGGTTAATTTTTGTCTCTCTCACTCTCTTTTTCTCTGTCACAACCTCAGTGTCTCTTTGTCTCACTATCTCTGTCCCTCTCTCTGTCTATATCACTGTCTGTCTTTCTCTACCTCTCTCTATCTCTGACAATTTCTCTGAAACCCTTTGTTTCCATCTCTCTCTCTCTCTCTGTATTTTCCTCTCTGTATGTCTTTGTCTCTTCTACTCTCTGTCTCCAACTCCCTCTCCTACTGTTTCTCTCTCATTTTGACTGTCTCTATGATACTCTGTCGCTCCTAATCTCTTTCCTGCTATATCTGTCTCTTTCTGTCGCGCTGTCTCTCCCTAGCTCTTTATGTCTCTGTCTTTCTTTAGCTCTCTCTGGCTCCTTCTGATTATCTGTCTTTCTGAACCTCTCTTTCAGACTTTTCGCCTCTATCTCAGTGATTCTTTCTCTGTCTCAGTCATTCCGACTGTCTCTCAAAATCTGACGATCTCTCCGACTGTTTCTCAGACTATGTCTGTCCGATTGTCTGCCTCTTCAACTCTCTCTCTCTCTATACATAACAGTCTCTCCAACTCTCTCTGTTCCTCCGACTCCCTGTCTCGGACTCTATGTCTTTCTGACTCTGTCTATCCAACTCTTTGTCTTTCTGAGACTGTTGATCCGATTTTCTCTGTCTCTATACTCTGTCTCTCCGACTCTCTATATCCCTGCCTCTCTCCTACTCTTTCTCTCACACTCAGTCTCTATGACTATTTCTTCAGTCCTCTCTCACTGACTGTCTCTGACTCTCCATCTCCAGCTCTGTGACTCCCTGATTATCTGTCTTTCTCTGCCCCTGAGACTTTCTCTTGTCTCTCCAACTCACTCTGTCTCTCCAGTTGTCACTCCGTCTCTGCGACTCTCTGTCACTGGCCAGCACTGCGACTCTCTGTCTCTCCGACTCTATATGTCTCCAATTCTCGCTGTGCTTCCCTGACACAGTCTTTTTGACTCTCTCAACCCTCTCTCTACCCCTCCGACTCTTTCCAATTCTCTCTTTCTCTATGACAATGTTTCTGATTCTCTCTCCCACTGCCTGTCTTTCTGACTCTCTATATCTCCTGCTCTCTTCCCTGCTTTCTCCATCCTACTCTGTTTCTCTCTGTCGCTCTGAGTCTCTCCCTAGCTCTCTTTATATCTGTCTCTCCGAATGACTCTCGTTGTCTCTGTAACCCACTCCGTGTTTCTGACCCTCTCTGTCTCCCTAGCTTTCTTTCTGACTCTCTCTTTGACTGTCTCTCCATTTGTCTCTGTCTCTGCATCTCTCTCTCAATGTCTCTGTGTCTCTCCATACCTCTCACTCTTGTCTCATTGGCTGTCTCTCCTTGACTCTCTGTCTCTTCTACTGTCTAACTCTCAAACTCTTTATATCAAGCTCTCTTTGTCTCTTCATCTTCCTCTGTCTACCCAACTCTCTCTCTCTCTCTCAAATTCTCTCGAACTCTTTATCTGTTTCGCCATTTCTCTGACTCCCTGTCCCTCTGAATTTTCTCTGTCTCTCAAACACTCTGTCCCTCTGAATCTTTTACTCTGTCTCTCTCCTTAAGTAAGGCAGAGAGAGAGAGAGACAGACAGAGACACAAATAGAGAAAGAGAAAATAGATAGTGGGAGAGGAAGATACACAAACACAGAGAGAAAAACAGGCAAATAGACGGAGATAGAGACAGACAGAGCAGAGAGGGAAAGTGAGAGAGAAAGAAAGAGAAAGAGATGAAAAGAGACAGATAGGGAGAGACAGAAAGAGAAAAAGAGAGGCAGAGAGACAGAGAAAGAGACAGACAGAGAGACAGATGAAGAAAAACAAAGGGGCGAGAGAGACAGGCAGAGAAAGAGAAAAAGAGACAGAGACAGGCCAAGAGACAGACAGAGATGAAGATAAGACAGAGACAGACAAATAAAGAGACACAGAGAGAAAGAGGCAGACAGAGACAGAGAGGGAAATAGACGCAGAGAGATAAGAGAGAAAAAGAGACAAGCAGAGAGCAAGACAGATAGAAGGAGAGAGACAAAAAAAGACAGAAAAATAGAGAGACACAGAGAAAAAGAGACATACAGATAGACAAAGAGAGAGACAGAGATAGATGGAGAGAGACAGAAAGAGAGAGAGAGAGAGGCAGAAGGAGACAGACAGAGAGAAAGGGATAGGGAGATAGGCAGAGAGAAAGACAGACAGAGAGAGGCAGAAAAAGTCAAGAGAGAAAAACATATAGATAGAGAATAGAGAAACAGAGAAAGAGATACACAGAGAGAAAGATAGAGAGACAGAGATAGAGAAAGAAAGAGACAGAGAGAAAGACAGACTAATTCATAGCTAATACATTTCCTATTTACTCCTGGCACTCCTATTAAAAAAAATGTGTAGATGGAAAAGTTAAAAACAGGCCATTAAGTGTAGACAGCGATACAACTGGGTGTCTGTCAAAGTATACAACTACAGCAAGAGGTTGTATTTTAGTTCAACTGCAGCCAACCTTCATTCTGGATGTGGCGTCTAATTAATTTAAAAAAAAAAAAAGTCTTATCATTAATGACTTTCAAGAAAACAAACACAAAACAAATGTGAACCTTCCGTATGTTAACCCGGTCAACAAGTCAGATGTGCTAGCCAAAAGGTGCACGTATCGCAGCTATACTGTAAACAGACACCAGACACAACGCTGTTACATCGCTGGGAAGAATGAGAAGAAGAAATGTGAATCTAAGAGACCACCACAATGTTTATATTGTAACAGACTAACTGTTGCTAGGTTACTACAAAAATATAATCTTCGACTTAAAGGATACACATTTCATATTGAAATGTGCAATATTAAAGTATAAAACACAAGCATGTTAAACATAGCTTAAAATGAGTACCCGGATCTATGTCCTGGGAAAGCAAAGACGGCCGGCGTAATGCTGACCACATTACCCACCTAGTGCCGATTGGTCTGTAAAAATGTGGGCGCTCTTCCTATATGCCCGTTGCACCTAAAGGCGTGAAAAGAGATCTTTACTTATTTCTTACTTTTGTTAAAAATGCTTGAAAAGAAGCTAATGAAAGTAGATCTCTGTATACAACAATAAAAAAGAGACAAACACTGTTCTATGGTGACATAATGAGAAGAGAGACATTGGAGAACATCGTGACAACTGGAAAGATCACTGGAAAAAGGGACAGACCAACAGAGATGATGCTGGATGGGCTGAAACGATGGCATGGAGGGATATCATCAAGAGAGCTGTTCCAGGCAACCAGGGATCGTGATCTGTGGAGATGCATGAGCGCCTAAGCCAGTTGGCAGGGCACAAGATGATGATGATTTTAAACATGTCAGTCATTTCAAGCTGGAAAAAACAAAACCAAACTGACAAAATAAACCACAATCTCCACATGATGTTGCGTTCAATAAATACTCATTTAATATAGACAACAAAATGAAAAAGTATGAAAACTGTTTAGCAAATATACAAGATCTTCTGGTGAAATCAACA